GCCATGGCAGCACAGGGAGCTCAGGGGCCATGGCGGAGCAGGAAGCTTGAGGAGCCATGGCGGAGCAGGCAGTTCGGGGCAGGCAGACTAGGAATCCAGGGCAGAACAGGGAGCTCAGAAGGCCATGGCTGGACGGCCTCCGTGGCCTTGGCCTCGCTTACTGTTCTCGGTCTGGTATTCTGTCACACATCGGCTACTGTGGAGGAATGAGGAGACACAGGAGTAAACTCAAAACACAGTCTTTAATCTTTTACTTCCAGGAAATACAGGGCAGGCATACACACACACACACACACACACACACACACACGCAGCACAAGGACGAACAATACCAGACAAAGAACTTTGAACAAAACACTCCTTAAGAATACAACTCAATCAGGGGAAGATGAGACACACCTGGAAACAAATTGGAAACAATCAGGGAGCAGGAACAGGAAAAGCAAATAAGGGCATGGAAACACATGGGGAGCAAAACACACACAAAACAAGGAACAGAGTCTGACACAATGTTCAAATACTTTTTAAACCTGAAATGATTTTTGTAAATCCAGTGGTCAAATGCTGTGTAGCCACCTGACTAGTGACTTTGATTGAATGACTGTATATAAGTGGCAGGCTATTTTAGAAAGGACCATTTAAAAGATGAAAAAGAGGAATTGTGGAGAATCAATAAATTGTAAATGAAATATTGCAATTGTGTGAATCATAAATATCTGAACATATATTTAATATTTATTCTACAGTATATTGTACTATTCTGTACAGTGTACATTTACGTCAGAAAAGTTCACTGGTCCAGCTAACACACCAAGCGGGCACCTTGACATCAATTTGATGTCGCATATTAATCAAGACTTGATTAAGATGCTGTAACATCATTTTAAATTCAGTTTGGACGGCAGCTTCTTCCAGTGGTAACTGGATGAAAATAGGAAGTTACTCCCACACTGAAATTGGTATAATGTATATAGGCCAATGTGTTTAACATTCTGTTTACATCAAATCAATGTCATGTTGAGTTTTTGACATCAGTTTGATGTCATTTTAATGTCTTTTCAACATCAATTGCCCACTGGGTAGACTGTAAACTATTGGGCGGTGTTCCTGTCTAAAAGGTGGTTGGTGCTTTAGATAAAAGGTGGGACTTCCATTCCTAAAGCATTCAAATGCTTCTAATCATTACCATATCCTCACTCCTATAATGTCCTATTCTATATACTACTGTATATGCTGTTTTGTTCATTCACGCTTCTAGAGATGTTGTGGTTTGTTTGGCATTTAATTGGTTTATTTCTGCTTTTATTGTCTGAATAATCACAGGCACACTGACACATATTGACTGGCTTAAGAAACATTTCACTACAGAATCAAGATATATGAAGCCCAGTTCCACAGCTTAATGGACTGAGGGCCATTCCATAATTAAGGGAGAGCATTCAGTGCTGAATAAATCCAATTCAGATCTCCTTCATACTATTAAACACCACTCTACCATTCACGAAACGCTGCTCCAAATATGGATTGACTCTTAGTGAGCATAAGCTTATTTCAACCTGATTCCATTGTTACTTGAGGAGGCTTTGGATCTCTCAGCCTCTAAGTAAGTCTTTGTTGATTATAATACTATTTAAAACCTCTCTCCCAATGAGAGGAAACAAATCCCCTTTAAATACAAGCAAATTAATTACATCTCAATAAAGCTTCCTTTTTATGTCAGGCCTGAGCTCTCATTAATTCATATTTGTGCAGGTGAACAAAAATCCCCTGTTGGTTTTGTTTGCAAAGGGTGTGTAAGGAACAGTTAACATAAATTATAGCACACACAGGATTTTCCTTCTAGGTTGAAAGAGGTGTGTGTAAGGCTGAAATTAAAGAGATTTCTTCCTTCCTCAGGCTTCCATGTATTTACTGTGAACGATGAGACAGTGAGGCTCTTGTGAAGACACCAAGCCTGAGCAGGCCTCTCCTAGCAACTGCAGCAACAATATCCATTCATTCAGCCGGAGTGTTCTGCTTTGAATATAGTTCAGAAAAGAGCCAGAGTCCTCAGGCATTAATTTGTAACTGCAGGCTGTAGAAAAGCTGGGTGATGTGAGGTCCACTTAATAGAAGAGATGTTTTGTGCTCCCAGTGCTGAATCTCCAAACTTTTACATTTGAGACCAAGTGGTTTCATGCACATTGAGTGTAAATACTGGGGTTAGATATGAAAACTTTTTGACTTGAAAGCAGTGATTATTCTGTGGAAATATGGGAAAGCACCTTTAGATTTTGTTGCTAATAGAGATTTTCAAATCAAAACTCAATGCATTTATACTATTGTTCATGCAAAAATTAAAATTATGTCATCATTTACTCACCCTTATGTTGTTCAAACCCACAAGACTTATGTTTATCTTTGAAACACAATGAAGATATTTCAATTAAATATGCAATATCTCTCCCTCCACTGAAAGAAAATATTTAATTTAGGCTTTTATTTACAAATAAACATTGATCAACATATAGACTTAGAGGGTGTCTCTTCAGAAAATGTGGAATAACTGTTAAATTCACTTTACAATTTTTTACAATGTCTTTATAAATTTTTCGAAGCATTAACATTTTGGTGGAATGGATTTTTTTAATTGGAGGGGCAGAAATGTTATATAAGTTTGACGATCAAAGGTCTTTTTGGGTTGGGTAATTTTTGAGTGAACTGTCCCTTTGAAAATGGTTTTAAAATATGTTAATCGGTTTTATGGAATTATACAACAGGAGAACCTTGCTAAGTTTAAGATCACTCGGAACACTTGGAAGCTAATATGCTGATCTAAAGAACACGGAAAACTTGATGTATCCCAAAAATGGTTAAAGGGGTCATATGATGCGATTTCAAGTTTTCCTTTCTCTTTGGAGTGTTACAAGCTCTTGGTGCAGAAAGAAGATCTGTAAAGTTGCAAAGACAAAAGTCTCAAATCCAGAGAGATATTCTTTATAAAAGTTAAGAGTCAACCACGCCTACCTAAAACGGCTCATTCTGAATCAGCGACTGTAAATATGTTTTGTTATTAGTTTAAGTATTTGCTATCGACTGTTCAAATGCGGCGTTTTGCGCAGCGCAGAGTAATGCGTCGTGTGTGTGTGTGTGTGTGAGGGGAACAGGGTCACATCACAGGAGAGTGAACTGCCGTCAGAAATCATAGCACGTCAGCTGTCTTAACCACGGCTTGTGTACTGCATCATCACTGTGTCTGTCACGCGACTCTGTTGCCCTTTCGGGCTTGAACTGATGGTAAAACTAACGACATTATTAACTGTCTTGATATTTACTTTGAAAGCTGAAGCTCGCGATTATGGTAAGGTGCGTTACATTTCCAACGCGTGCTTGTGGTGTTCGGCCAATCACAATGCACTGGGTTAGTTGGCCAATCAGAGCAGACTGCGCTTGTCAAAGGAGGGGACGTGTTTGAGAGAGGCGGGGCATAGAGGACCTACAATAATGTACAGTATTTGAAAAATAATGTGTTTTTTGAACATTAAATTATGTCAACATATTCTGTTATACCAAATACACAAAATAATGATCTTTAAAATAGCATCATATGACCCCTTTAAGTTGTAAAGGACGAGTCAACAGTGTAATTATAAATGTAATTACAGAAATTAATTACAGTTGTAATTACATGCAGGTATTTTTTTAAGTACATTGTGCCAAGTGATTAATTTAAATGTAAGTATATAGTAGTTAACAAGGAAGAAGTTTCTTTGCTCACCCTAAGATTCTGCCTTCATTTTATAGAGCATAGAATGCTTCTCCTTGCAAGCATTGCACAGCAAGAAATGGAACAGCTGGCTTCATGTTACAGTGACAGAAGCATATTTAATGTGCCTCCACCTTTCCAGCATTCATGACCACTGAAGACTCTCATAATACATCCTAAATCAATTGGAGAAAAGTGCGAGCAGACCGAGAGTCAGTAATGATGTGATTGATGAGATTGGTGTGAATATTTGTAAGCTGATAAGCCTCTTTTTTCTCTCTCTTCTCTCTGTCTTTCTCTCACACAGCAGAAGGCATACAACATTAAGCAGCAGAGTGTGAAAAACGAAAAGCACCTGAATGGAGTGGGTAAGTCTACACTTACACATCCTTGAGAACAATGAAAGCCGCCCAACAGCCCTGCAGAGGAACAATGCAATGTTGCCAAGGTTCCTTCTGTTCCATCCGAATGTCTTTAACCTTGTTTTTTTGACACGTCATGACTGGGTGAAAAAAACTTCCGAAGTTCCTGGCTTTTAAACTTGTCATGTGCCACTGACCCTAAAAAGACTCAAAATGAAATGTTCATCACTTGAAAAATATTCTGTTTTTTAATAGATGTTAGGCTTAAAGGAATGCAAAGTTTAGTTGTTTGGCAGGAAACATCAAACTTGCTGTATTAATATACAGTAGAGCAGCGATCAAGTCAAAATTACTTGTATAGCGCTTTTCACAATACTCATTGTTTCAAAGCAGCTTTACATAAAATCGTGATATTATTGTATAGAATATCTTAATACCGTTATGCCTTATAGTTGAATTTAGCAGATTAGAGGTGAGTGATAAAATAGTTTGCATTTTGCGATTCAAGCAATAGAAGCCCTATTTCCAGAGGAAAAAAAAAAAAGATAATAATTCTGCGGAGTAAAGAATGATGAGCCTGACCTGATGATCATGTCTAGAGATGTTGTTTTATTGTATACGGCATGTAATCTTTAATGTAGACATGAACAATGTGTGATTGTAAGATGATTCTCTGTATGATTACTTATTTTAAATTGCTCAATGTATGAATTTGTGAAGGATGAATGCTTCTTGGTAGTCCAATGGTTAATGTGAGATTTAGCAGAAGAGCAAAAGAGAGGGATTAAGCCCTCCACTAATCCTATCAGACTCCTGAGAAAGAGAGAGTGTGTATGTGAAAAATAAAGTTGGGAGGAGCAGGAGGGGTGTGGCTTTGATGCCCAGTGGTCACATGACTGTTTACACTGTGAGAGAGGAGGCATGTGGGTGAAGAACAGCAGCAACTCAGGAGAAACGGCCCTCACATAAACATGTAGGATATCTTACACACACATACACGCACACACAGGAAACAGCAGAATGGACCAGAGAGTTGAACACAGTTTTTATCCTCCTGAGGGCCAGCCCAGCAGACCCAGAGATGTGCTTGTTAAGTCAGGTAAGAGAGAATCAAGTGCTCAACTGCGGCTGAGATTACAGGATGCTGATATTATGATGCTGTGTTATGCAGTGAAACTTGACCAGATTCAATGGTATTATTTGAATACCAATGATAAGAACATTTTCACTCTTATAGTAGAATAAATTAATTTAAATTGTATTTAAACAAGTTCCAGTAGTGCACATTGTATTATTGCAATGTATAATAACTGTATAATAACAGATGTATAATGGTTTTTGAAAAGAAGTTGCTGTAGCAAATACAAGACAAACTAAAAAGGCAAAAGAATGATACAAAAGACACTTGAACAAATCAGTTGAGTGAGAAACAGGGAACCATGCTTGCTCTGGGCATAGCGCCCAACTTGTTACTCATGGTGTTTTGCTCTAAAGTGAGACAACTGACTCCAAAAACTCTTTGGTAGTCATTAGAAAGTCACCATTTGTCATTTACTTTATGCACTTTTGTCGTCTGGTGATAAAGATGTAGCAATTTTAGGTGTCAGTATCATAGGATAAATCAATCCTTACGTCTTAGTGACAAGCAGGATCATCTTTCACAATTTTGTTTTTTGTAATGTTTTACCAGCAGTATCTTGCTGTGTGTTTGTTTTAGCCGAAAAGCACAAGGTCCACAATGTATTTCTGCCTGACCATGATCGACACCAATAAACCCTGCTTTGTGTATTTGAACAGTTATCTTAAATCATCCATCTCTGAATGCCCAGCTTTTAAACAAACACACCTTTCACCAACATGTCTTGGAAGTCTATTAAGCAGTTTCTTTGTGAATTAAATCTTAAAAATATAGTTACCAAAAATTAATATTCTGTCACATTTTACTTTAAATCATTTTTTTGTTTTATTCTTCTTCTTTTGTAGAACATAAAAGATCTTCTGGGGAAATTTTTTTTTAAGTTGTAAGTGTTCTACAGAATAATGAAATGCATGCAGGACTAGAATGATATAAGAAAAATTGATTTTCTTTTTCTTTCTGAATTTTCTTTTTTTGAGCAAACTATCCTTTTTCAAGTCTGTAGTCTTGATTTTCTATTCTATTCTATTATATTCATCTAATATGAGTAAAATGACAATAAATAAATAAATAAATAGCTAGCACAGGAAAAAAGAAAATGATCCTAGTTACACAGAGTTACAAAACTGCATGTTAAAAACTCTTTTTATTGATTCGTCAAGACTACATTTAGATGCTTGAAATAGGTTATATTGTGTTATTGCCCATAGAGACTGCTGTTTTGCTTCTTGCTGGGCACCTTTATAATGCAAATCCCCTGTCTGAGAGCTGTGTCTAAATTTTATGGCTTGCCAAGGACCAGCATTCAGTGGGGATTATGGGAAATAGCACTTCACTCCACACATACACATACACACACAGTCATGGGAGAATGGGATCCCAGGGCATCCTCTGAGAATGCTGACATCGCCATGACAACTGTCAGCATTCTGTTTGTATACAATCCATTCTGGGAACAAACTTCTTATATAACAGAGGATTTTTGTATAAACAAAAATGGTCTTTGTAATGCTGAATATCTGGTAGTCAATGGGATAATTCAGTGTTGCAGAGGAATCTAAACTGTCCTACTAATACGAAGTTAGCATGCTTGAGTTTTCCTTTCAAAAGGGTGCCATTATTTATTTATTTATTTATTTATTTATTTATTTATCTGAAACAATGAAAATGTGTTACTTTTCAAAGTAGAGACAAAATGACTATATATATATATATATATATATATATGGCAAATTAATGTTTTTTTTTTCTTCTTTTTTTCCGAGGGGGCTTCATAATTCAAGTAAAAATAATTTAAAACAAAAAGTTCTTAAAGCATCATTTATTTGCCACTTCTTTTGATGTTTTCAAATATATAGCAGTGCAATCCTGATATTTTGAACATGACTTAAGTATCACTTCCTTTTAGGGCAACTGTAAATATAAATATACTACATTTTTAGGTCCATTATATATCAAATTGTCATACTAAAGTGTTGTATTACCATCTGAAACCATCATTGAAGCATAGTTCTGTACTTTCTTGTAAGGGTCATATCTTGTCCCTCAAAGCATATTAGCATACTTTCTATGTATAGGCCTACTGAATCACTTTCGGTTATGTTGAGTATATAAGGAAACACCTGCTGTAGCCCCACACAAACAGACACCAAACAAATCTAATTAAGCACACTGTTTATAATCTGCAATTCTTGGAAATGGGCTCAGATCTGATCGGCAGAAACCCATGACATCCCTGTCTGTGTAACTCCTGGGTTTGTGGGGGATGTTGATAAATACATTATGCCCATAACAGAAGGATATTCACTTTCAGAACAGACACAGTCCACCCTCTGCTGCTCTTCACCATGTTACTGATCTCTAATCAATGAGATCAAGGACAGTCTTCCTGAACGCCAGATTGTGTAGCAATACAAAACGTACTGTGACACTTGTATGTATGTGTATGTGTAAGTAGTTTTATCTCATATTGAATTCTATCTGTAAGCTCTGAACTAGCACACAAAATCTATTACACTTCATAACCATGACGCAACACTCTCCCTTCACATAATATTCATGTTGGCTACATGCTCACACAGTTTATTCAGTTAAAAGCAAGCAGACATTGCAACACATTAATTTGCCTTTACTAAAAAAGACTCTGCAAACACAAACATGAAATAAACACTTTAACCCTGGTGTCCACATATACTTAACTCTCATTTTCACAGACACACTTATGATATGAAGACTTGTTTTTAAATGAACATAGTTATTTTTATTTTTTATTATTATTATTTTGTGTGTGTGTGTGTTTGTTAGCTTGTTTGTTTTTTAGCAAAAATATATAGATATTTCTATTTGATATTACATTTTATTATTTTATATCTTCAAAGACGATATATAAACTGTCAGACTCGCTTGTTACGACACAATCTCTGTCCAACCAGTGATCATGGATTCATTATCCTTATAAACATGGTCTGTGGACTGTGACAGATTTCCTTGATCTTTATTTTTCTGATGAACATAGCATTTCGATATGTCAAAATATGTTTTATCTTTCAAAGAGCCACATCAAGGGAAAGGGAAAATAACAATGTTAGGTACAGTTGTATTTCTACCTAGATTTTCTGAATGTGAATGGCCCTACAAAGTTCACTGCCACAATGTATTGTGGGTTACTGTGCTGAGCAGCACATTGCTAGGTGGTTTCTTGGGTTGTTAAGCATAAACATAAACACTGGCTTCCATGTTTTATGGGTTCGTTCCATAGGTGTAATGGTTTGTATATATAATGGTTTTATATTTAAATGTATTATATAAGCTTGTTTCTTCCACCCCCCAAAAAATAAATAAAATCCCACAAGGTCAAAATTTACTGGTATTACTATTCTTGTGGGGACATTTGGTCCTTATTACATGGTGAATACCAGTACACACACACACACACACACTCACACACACTAATTCTCAGAAATGTGTTGTGTACTTGCTAACCTCTGATACTAAACCCTGGGTCACAAATACTTTCACATGCATGAATTCCCTTCACCATCTTGCCTGTCGTCGTTGTCATCATCATTTCATCCCTGTCCTCTTCTCATGCACTCAGATTGAGAAGTGCTAAGAATTGAGCTCAGCTTTTTTAATATTGAATGGTGGAGACTGTCTCTGGTTCCTCCTCCAAGCATATCATTGTTCTAAGCAAGCTTCAATGCATATGATACCTGATCTACTGTCACTTTAGCACAGATCACTGCACTTTTAATCTGTCCTAGAGGAGTGACTCTACCCACGATGCAATTGGGCAGGTTTGCATTATGTATCTGGATACAAGTTTGTCCTTTAGTGGTGATGAAGTACAAACGTGTCAGAACCAGTACTATTTCATAATCTCTCTATTTCACAATTAGGCTAATGGATAATCATTTGAAAAAAAAATCATCATGAGAATATGCTTAATTGTCATTACAAATAGATAGATAAATAACAACAACAACTATAACAACTTAATGGTCCTAAAATAAGCCTAATTTCCTTAAAGCTAAATATTGTTTCTTTGTTTGAATTTTGGAGTGAAAAATGACTGGATGTATTCTTTATTAAATTGCACTGGGTGACAAAAAAAATATTTTTAGAAATAGTATAAATGATTTCTCAAAACATATCTATATAGTTGTACTGAACAGACTATATGCTTATATTAAAATCACCCATTATGGTCAGAAATATGCAGTTATTGCACATTAATACTTTGTCTGTGTGTCTTAGTTAGAGGTTAGGTTTTGTAAATAAATAAATACATACATACATATATATATACATACATACATACATACATAAATAAATAAATAAATTGCTGGACTCAGCAAAAGGAAATTAGAGTTAAGGTATTTCCACCCAAACCCAGAGGAACAAAACACTCTGCATGTCCACCTGCTACCTTCAGGAAACCTGTTTCAGCTCACATGGAATCATTTAAACTTGGCAGAGACAAGCCGTATGTAGTAGTGTAAATGTAAATGCTGGTTCTCTGATGTGTGTTGTCCAACTTCCTGCTGTTTATTACGTTCTCCTTTTGCGTCATTCTTTGCCTTTCTGCTCCCAGTAAAAATAAGTCAAAAGGGAAAAAAGCTACTTCCTTCCTCTCACATTGTTTTCTCTCTGTCCTCAGCCTCAGCATATGCAGATATCCAATGGGAACAGCCTCATCAGCCGAGAAACCCGGACAGGGATCCATTTGGTTACCCTCATCGTGAGATCCCCCCACTGGCCAATTATACTCCTCAGCCTGATTACATGACAGGGGATGATGATCTCATCAAGCCTAAAAAGCTGAATAATCCAGTGAAAGCCTCTAAAAGCCACCAGGAGCTTCATCGGGAGCTGCTTATGAACCATAAACGGTATGAGGATACACAAGTTTACAGTACATAAACAATCTTGCAATGATGACAAATCTATTGCAGACTGTCCATGATGGTGATCATTCTTTGCAATCTGGTAATGATTTTCCTGTTCACATTCCTGTAAATTTAGTACATGCAAGTCCCTGTACATCATCTGCTAAATGGCAAATAATACTCACATTCAGAGTGAGGAACATTTCTTTAAAAGTTTCTAAGGGTAGGTTATGTAAACAAAAAATGTATCCTAACCAAATCTGAGCCATATCATCTCTGTGCTCCTGAGCAAGACATTTAAGTTTACCTGGAAAGTTCCTACTTAAGAGTTCTGAAATTGCAACTTTGATACGGAAGGCATTCAGGTGATTTTGGGAAGTGGATCAAATGGATTTCACATTTAACGTATTTCTGGCTAGCTTTATTCCAAAATGTATACAATATAAATGGTCACATGAGCATTCGCAATTAGAATATACTAAGATGAATCAAACTTTTTTTTTTTTTTTACCAACTGAGATATTCGGGGACTACATGAGGTTCCCACTAAGAATTTGGACTTCACAAGGATGTATTCATTTGCAATCAACTCCAGCAATAAATAAAATCACTCCAACATGAACTGAATGAAAAATAAATAAATAAATAAATCGATGTGTACTTAAAGGGTTAGTTCACCCAAAAATGAAAATTAGCCCATGAATTACTCACCCTCAAGGCATCCTAGGTGTATATGACTTTCTTTTTTCAGACGAATCCAGTCGGAGTTATATAAAAAATTGACTTTGATCTTCCACGCGTTTGAAATGTAACGCCCCTTACCATAATCGCTTCAGCTTTCAAAGTAAATATCAAGACAGTTAATAATGTCGTTAGTTTTACCATCAGTTCAAGCTCGAAAGGGCAACAGAGTCGCGTGACAGACACAGTGATGATGCAGTACACAAGCTGCGGTTAAGACAGCTGACGTGCTATGATTTCTGACAGGCAGTTCACTCTCCTGTGATGTGACTTTGTTCCCCTTACACACACACACGAAGCGTTACTCTGCGCTGTGCAAAACTCCGCATTTGAACAGTCAATAGCAAATACTTAAACTGATAACAAAACATACTTACAGTCGCTGATTCAGAAGTACCAGATTGTCATTGCAAAGTCGGAATTGACCCTCTTTTTTTTTTTTAGAAATAGCCTTTGTGCACAGCCAGCCTTGTACTCTTCTAGGTTCAAAAAACTGTCGTCCATAAAATGCGTTGCACAAATTAGAACATCTGGGTTGTGCTGTTCTGTTGTAAATAAATCTTAACCAATGATTACTAATTGCATCTACTTCCGGAAGGCCAAATAAAATGCTTTTGCTTTCGCACTGAAACACAGCGTCTCCCTGACACGGCTGCTTCAACACTACTGCTGTTCCTGAAACCACGCCTTCTTTCTTTGCGTGAACATTTGGGCGGCATTATGCTAATATTTCCACATAGTGACGTAGATATGTGGGGGCATGTTAGAACGAGCCGTTTTAGGTAGGCGTGGCTGACTCTTAAATTTTATAAAGAATATCTCTTTGGATTTGAGACTTTAGTCTTTGCAACTTTACAGATCTTCTTTATGCACCAAGAGCTTGTAACACTCCAAAGAGAAAGGAAAACTTGAAATAGCATCATATGACCCCTTTAAAGAGGCCGAGATGTCGAGCACATTTATACACCAGGCCAGGTGATACACATACACAGAGAAAGAGAAGCGGAACACGTTACCCAATGCCCATTCATTTTTACAACTGACATATTAAAAACCACGTAGCCCGACCGCGCTAACAAATGTTGAGTGGGTTTAGCCGGGCGGATTTCCACGCAAATGCAGCTCATCACTAAAACACCCTGCGCTTTGGGCCCCTCATGATCACAGCGCAGCCTCAGTACTCAAATGATCGTTATAAGTTGCATCAACGATTTAACAGACTTTAATTGCAGTGTTCTTAATCTTTATAAGTTAGTAGTACTGTTCGGGTTTACAGTGTGGGGGCGTGTTAGAACGAGCCGTTTTAGGCAGGCGTGGTTGACTCTTAACTTTTATAAAGAATATCTCTTTGGATTTGAGACTTTAGTCTTTGCAACTTTACAGATCTTCTTTATGCACCAAGAGCTTGTAACACTCCAAAGAGAAAGGAAAACTTGAAATCGCATCATATGACCCCTTTAATATAACTTTTATTATATAATTAATTTAATATAACTCAATTTTTAATATAACTCCGATTGGATTCATCTGAAAGAAGTCATATACGCCTAGGATGGTTTGAGGGTGAGTAAATAATGGGTTAATTTTCATTTTTGGGTGAACTATCCCTTTAAGAGGGATGATAGTGTACAATAGTACACTATACTATTGATAGTAGACTACAATACAATGTGATGTTTTATTGCACTATAAATAAGTGACACTACTTTTAGGCTACATACTTCATAGTTTGTGAGTTGTAGAATTCAGTTGCCACCTGAATGAATAACCAAAATATGTGTGTACAGAACAAGATTAAGAAAACCATATTTAGCCGCATTGTGTAAATGGTTGTAGTTAGTTACTCTCCAATAACTGTACACTACAGACCTGTTTCTTTCTAAAATCTCACTGCTGGACATGACAGTGCAATCAAGAGCATACTTGAGTTCTGTGCCACAGGATCTGCAGCATAAACAGTAAAACTCTATTGTTGGCTGAGCCTTGCATTCTTTAAATTTTAAACCTCTTAAAGTGTCTAGGAAAGAAAAGAATGGAGGGAGAGGTAAGGATAAAGGGGCTTCTGTTGCCCACTCCTGAGGGCTTTAAACCCCTCTGCTCAGACAGAGAGAGTGTGTTCACCTTTACCACATTTACTGGTAGTAAAGAGGTGGGGGGTGGCATTGTGGTGTGCTGCTACCAAGCAACTGCACAATGCTAATCATAGTACTAGCAATGAGAGCATGGGACATGAGGAGAAACTGAAGGCTTTCCCATTCAGTACTTTGGAGACTTGGGTTTATTTGTTTGTTTATTTGTTTGGTTATCTATCTATCTATCTATCTATTTATATGATTAATTGTTGCTGGGAACCTTTTAGAGACATAAATGTACTAATGACATATACATGAAAAGACATTTAGTAAGTATATATATATATATATATATATATATATATATCAAAGTAGCTGAGTGGTGACCATGATACCAGGATCAACATGTTTGTCCTGTCAAACAAACACAGTCCTAAACATATCTTCAACCGCAAACCTAGCTATTAAATAGATCTAGAACTAGAGGGAAAAGTAAGATGTACGATTGTTCTACAAATTTTAGTGCCATCTCTAAACTTAATATTTACTCCTAAGCCTTGATTGGTTGATAGGAATGTTGTTACAGGATCAACATGTCCTATTTAGCAAAATTTACAACAGTGGTTTAACTGTAAGCATTGTGAACAATGCATTTACCTGTAACAAGTCAATTAGCAGACACTTTTATTCAAAGGGACTCACAGCACATGTATTACAGAGACTGCAACCTAGAGTTAATTGTGGAATATCAAATTGTTGTTCTTAGCTAAGGGCCAGCAGGGGGTGCTCAGCCTGTGCTTTGTATGGGTCCTAATGGCCCGTGTAGTGATGAGGACATAATATTGTAAAAAGGCACTGTATTTTTGCCTAAACCAGGATCCTGTCAATTTCTAGGTTGCCTCTTGATCTGCATCCTAGCCAAATTTGCCTACTGGTCTCTTCTTAATGATTTCCATGTACATAGATACATCACAGTGCCCTGTGTGGTCTTCCTCTGAGTCCACACTTTCATGATGTAATGCCACTCAGAAGTGCGCAATCAGGGCAGATAACGGGATTATCATGAGCACCCGTCTAACACCTAAAATGACAAACAGGACGGCTTATGGCAGGACTATCCTGTTCTTGCAGGGCCACGACCATAGTTTAGTTCTAACTCTAATGATTCTTATACTGTACAGCTTATACTGTACAGCTGGTTCTGATGTGTTTAATTAGGGCTGAAACTGCATTTGTGGCTTTCCAGGAATGGAAGTGCCCTCTAGGAGCAAGATTGCCAGACATCCTTGACTTTGATCAATATGTAGTTACCAGTATTACTCCAGCTATGTCATGTGCTGAGACTAATACAAACCAATGAAGTTGCAGACAGCATGAGTGGAGGGCCTGTTTATTTCATTACAGAGAAGAAGACACTGTTTGTGTGGGTACATTTGTTAGTGTGTGCCCTCTGTACCACTACAAAACACTTCAAGCCACAGAGAGCTTACTGGCACAGTGCCGTGTCAGCCATTAAGCGGGTATCTTTTAGTCACTGTTGGCACTTGTGCCTCTTTGGTGCTCAGAGACCCTGCAGAAGACAATCAATCTGTAGAGGACATTACAAGAGAGAAAAAGAGATGTGGATCTCACATGCACACATATAACAGTGGGCATCAAAGGTGGCACAGTAGGCACAAGGGTGGCGGAGGAAATAGGTCACTCTCAGAACAGTGCCTCTTTTATCAAGCCTTTTCAAGATAAGCTTTTTATATGCCGGTGATGTTGCAAAACTCTTTACTAAAAGAGCTACGCTAAACACCGATGCCATCACTCAAGGAAAGTGATGCTAAAAGAAGACTCTAAAGGGGGAGAGACAAATTTGTCTCAGATGTCACTGTTAGCCATGATAGGAAAAAATACACCATCTATGGATCATTTCAGGAACGGATCGATGCCAACGATCTGAACAAGGTTTAGCAAGTGACTATTCATAGCCGAGAGCTGAGATAGGACTAAAGAGCAGCATGCTATTTTTATGAGGGCTCTCAGGAGCTGTTTGGGGCTGATTTCTCTCTTGTTATCTTCATTAACTGCCCCTTGTGTTTAATTGTTGTTGTCTGGCTGTCTCTTCAGTTTGAAGGACACCATCTATATTAGCAAGGATACTAATTGGAACTCCCACACGTGCTGAACTCCACACACACACACACTTCATTCCCCTTCTCTCAGCACCTGTGGCGCCACCTCACTGTGGAGAGAACAAGCTCACACATAATTTAATTATCAGTCTGTGTGTGCATGCGTGTGTGTGTGTGGCACTATAATTAATAATTATCACTCGTGTTAGCAGGAGCTTGGCACCTTGAGAACAGTCATGAGAGCTTATCCACTTTTGGTAATAGATGGAAGGTTCATATATATTCAGTTAAACTGCACTTAGACAAACAAACACACAATTCATATGTCATGGGCTGTCAAAATGAGCCCATTATCAATGGGATGTGCCTCAGCCATGACTAAGATGGGAAGTCATAACATTGAAGGATAAGAACAACAGGAAACTAATGGATATGCATTACATAAAAAAACTGAGCACTAATTTTACAGGCTATAACAGATTTCCAGACACGCACACGCACACGCACGCACACACACACACACACACACACACACATTTATTATAAAAAAAAGTTTTACGCAGCACACAATTACTGATTAAACATGACAATAATGCCACCTGCTGGATGACTGATGGACTGCTTCAGCTAATGATGTGATGTATTCTGTCTTCTCTTCTCTTCTCTTCTCTTCTCTTCTATTGTTTGTTTAATTTCTCAATGTTTTGTTTTTATTTTCTTTCTGTTTCATTCCATCTAATATAATTACCTCATGCCAATCTAATTCTATTTTATTTATTTATTTATTTATTTCCCCCCTATTTTATTCTATTATACTCAGAGGTATTGGTGTGGAGAACAAGCCAGAATTGCAACGTGTGTTGGAGCAAAGGAAGAGAGAGCAGATGATAAAACAAAGAAAGCAGGAGGAGGAGGCCAGGAGGAAAATCTCTCCATTGGAACAGGAGCTTCTCAAGAGACACCAGAAACTAGAGGAGGTAGAAAACATACAATCATAGAGTGTGTGATACGGACCTGTACTAATGAGGGTCAATATCCTCTTTTATTATTTCATGTATCTCAGAGGTCCTAACAAAGCAATCACATTTTATTATGTTTACATATATCCTATTTATTGGCAAACCAGCAACCAAATATGCACCAAATAATGTATATATCTGTTTTTCTATGTACTATAGCTGGAGAAGGAGCAAGCAAGATTGGAGGACAGCAACTGCAGTGCTCCGGAATTCATAAAAGTGAAGGAAAACCTGAGACGAACATCGTTTACAAGTTCTGAAGAGAAGGAGGTGTAGGGGCGTAAACAAAGACTGGATCCATATGTATTTGTGCACAGCCAGTAACATAGAGAGCTGCTGCAGCTCCTAAACACCACCCACACGACTCTGCTTCTCTACTTCCTGTCTCACACCAACAATACACTCACCTCTCTCTGTAGGAGGTTCAGAGAGGTCAGAGATAAGGACAAGACCCAAAGGGCCTCTGCTACACCTTCACATTATAAGGAGGTCGATGCTTACGAGGTTTCAGGAGACTGCAAAGAGAAAAAGAGTGTTTTTTTCTGCTCTGGGTCAGACTTGATGGGTTAAAGATTAACTGCCCAGGATGCTTATGAGTTTGTGTGTATGCATGGATGGACTGCTATGTTCTGGTTCTGCCACATTAGATGAAAAAGTGAAAACAAGGTACAGGGATTAGTTTCAGAGTGAAAAAAAAACAGGCTATTTCTCTCTAAATGACAGGCAGAACATGTATAAGGCGGCGATTACACAAACAATATCAGTATTATAGGCAAATTGTTTTTTATCAAACCGCCAAATATTTGTTCATTGCCTAATTTTTAACATTGTCTCTTATACTTAACAATCAGCACTTGTCACTTTTAAAATATAGGAACTATGATTATTTTCAGCTTTCATCACCCTTGATTTGCAGTATAACACCTTGCACGTGTGCACACAAAATTAATTTTACTCCTAAGAAAACAACAACAACAACAACAACAACCATTAAACAGTTCATAACTACAGTGATGGCTAAAATGATGATGCACTTTTACGAAGCTAACCATTTAATTTGACACGTCATAGAGTTAAACCAGTATAAAAGCAGGGAAGTTTCTGGTTTGTGCTTACTACTGTGCCTTTGTTAAAGTAGGATAGGCTGCCTGACTGTTACTGTGGTCCAATGTATGTTGCATAGAATTTTGTTCATAGTCATATCTTTATGAAATGTTCCCTAATAAAACAGTTTTACATTGTTTGGGTTTTCAAAGCACAGAGTGAAATTTAAATATGTAATCTCTGCCTTTTTTGGCTCGTGAAGCCATTGGATAATACAACAATCAATATGTTACTTTAGTTTAATGTTAATTTAATTATCATGTTGTTGCAGTCAAAATCATAAAACAAATATAAGAGTTGGCTACTTACATTTTTTTGTAGCTTTAGCCGTGGCCTTTACGATTGTTATAAACTGAGAACTTACACAATAAAGAAAAAGTACACATGCTCCATGTGAATAAAGATATTAATGGTTCTTTCATTTTGTGCCCTATTTTCTTGTCAGTTAAGAATTAGTTGGAATTCATTCATCCATTCAAACCAATACAATAAATTCTGCTTTTGCAAAATACACACATGCAAAGAAAACCATTTGATCCATCTACATGCACCAACAAGTTAACAATAAGCTATCAAGTTTAGCCCTGTGCTATTTAGATACTGCCAGCTCTGTGTCTGCAGGGCCAGGCATGCAGACTTCCCGGTTGTGGAATTTCACAAGCTTCTAAAGTGAAACAGTAGAGAATAATGTGTGTGTGTTGTGAATTTTAAGTAGATGGTCTAAAAGTGAAGTGGCGTGATGATACAGGAGGTCACAGGGCCTGGTTTGGGGTTATCATGCTCGGTTTCACTTTAATGGGTCCTCTGAGTTTTTTTCCACTGATGGAAAGTTTCCATCTCGCCCATCATCCAGCTTCTCGATAGCTTCTTAATTAGAGGGACAGGTAACACCATACCCTGAATCACAAGACCCTTTGTCCACAAAAACACGCTATCCACTTCTAATCTGTTTAATCTCTAAGAATCTTCAGGATCCGATTTGTTGTGCTCTAGTAAACAAGGGCTAAATTGTTTGACGTGAGGCAGTTGCAAACCTGAACTGAACAATGGCACACCTGAACTACTGGCAACACAACAGCCTGAATGTGAACACAGTGTTTCAGGGAGACGCTACAGGTGTAAATACAAACCACGTCAACACACAATACATTTCTGAATCATTTACATGATTAGTTTTTCATTTAAAATGTGATTAATAATTGAATTATTGAATATGACATGTAAACAAAAAACGATGCATTTTTATGCATGTTTTTAAAAGTTTTTGAAAGAAGTCTCTTAGGATCATCAAGTCATCACTTATTTGATTAGTTAAAACGGTAATATTGTTAAATATTATTCATTTAAAATATTGTCA